ATTTAATGTTTCTGCATAGTTATTAAGATTCGCTCTGTGGCAACAACGAGTTCAAAAAGTTGTTACTTTGAGTGTTCCGTGATAATCGTTGCGTAAGCATTATTCCTTAAAAAGCTTGATATACTATTTTTTATGTTAACAATAAGTAATATGTAACAAATAAGCGTGAAAGTTCTATAAAAATAAATATGCTTTTTTTAAAGACTAAAATAAGCGTGTATTTAAACTATGGGAAACGCTCTGGATGGTTTGTTTCGATTTTGAGTTTTCGTCAATACCTACGGAGTTCGAATCCCTGGGAGAGCACTACAAATTTTCACGTTCCAGCATCGACATAAACTAATGACACTACAAGTGGAACCCGAACTAAAAAGGTGGGGAAAATAATTCATCAGGCCCCTAATTCCCAGTCGGCGGCAGGACCGTATAGGCAGGGTTTATATAGCTTTTGGCCTACCTTCGAAGGCGTCCTGGACCAAACCGGTAAGAATTCGTTTCAGAATTTTTTCCATCCGCCTATGACGTATCCCCAAATGAACGATTTCTCGCCAAATATGGCAACCCTGCCTTCCTTTGCCATTTTCTGGTAACCCTAAACATGCTTTGCGGTGAAGGTAACTTACAGCGGCTGGGCATTTCGTAACGATATCAATATAAAATTAAATGCATTTTTAAAATAAAAAGTATACTGGTATATGCTAAAAAATTGCTTTCGAAGGAGACCACTGGCTATATATTTACCGGCTCCGCGAACTAAGGAAGAAGCACTACCAGGCCTAAAACTATTGAAGCCGCTGTATTAGGGTTAAAGTGATCATTAGGCGAAAAGAGCCCCATGAGAGCTTCACAGAAACATTCATTACACCCCCGCCTCGTCCCACACTCACGGGCGACGGATTAAAAATTTAAAATGGCTGTGCAGGTCAACCGGGATCACCATTCCCAGCAAACTGAGACCATCATGAGGTGCCGCTGCTATAAGCCTGGAATTTTTACTGGTCGTTGGAGTGTCCCCGCCAGTACTGCGCGGGCAGTCCACCAGGCTGAAAGTTTGACATGGAATACCTGTAATGTTGTTCTTTTCACTGATCTTCTTGATTTCAGCCTAAGCCAAGTCAGATATAATTAAGACACAATAACTTATTCTTGTCCAGGCTTTCTTATCTTATCTAATCAGTATTTCCTACCTTGTTCATTTGCGGTTTTGCAGCTGAGGATAGTGGTTCGGTAAAACCATCGAAACTAGTCCTGTGAAAATTTTGGAAATATAACGCTGATTTTTGTTGTTTGACTTCTGAACAAGTCAGATATATTAATATTTTATTGTGGTCAACAAGGGATAGGTTAAGCTGAAACTTTGAGCATGTTATACATGAGAGTAAGAGTCTGACCAGTTCTATTATGTTTCAATTTTGATTATAACACTTCAAAATTCTCTTTCAAAGGCTCCTAGAAACAATTTATCTGCGGGATTTTCTAGGGTTCGATGATAATTTAAGTGTCTCCACGCTTCAGAAATGTTTTAAATTTACAAACAACTTCGAGATTCGAACCTGAACCCAGTAATATGGCAGGGACACCACTTACCTCTATATCGATCAGGGTGGCCTACACACATTTTCTAAAATATTCAATTAATTTGACATAAATCCATATATATATATATATATATACTTAATAAGCTAAGTTGTAAGTACAGTACTAAAAAGACCAATTTTGGTCCAAAAAATTTTTTTTGCGAAATATGCTGCAAAATTAGGGAAATGAGAAGAGAAATTGTAGTTAGTTTGCCAAAAAGTTACCAGGAGCTGTGTGTGGCTTCAAGAAAAAGTTCAACATCAGTAAAAAAAAAAAAAAAAAAAAAAAAAAAAACAAAAAAAACAATGACATTGAAGGGTGAAAAATTAGGCTACACGCGAAATAAAATATAAAATATAAAACACAGTAAAATATTAATCGTTGGATACAAGTTAACGGCAAAAAATACAGTAAAATACCTATCGATGTGACAAGTTAAAACATATAAAAAAAAAAACAGTCGATGGAACAAGTTAAAACAAATAGAACAAATAAATGCATATAAATATTATAAAAATTATAAAGCGGAAAATGGTAAATTAGCTCAATTCGAGGTTCAACCTGGCTTTTCAAGAGAAATTTCTGGTTAAACGTCTAACCAAGCTAACTCCATTACGCGTTTCGCCGAAACAGACAATTGAAACTTTTGCGTTACGAAATTTTGAATTAATTAGATAAATTGTCCTAAAAATTTTTTTTAGTCTCAATTCTCTGTTCCAATTTCCCGATGCGTCCGCACAATATATATATATATATAGATAGATAGATAGATAAAGAAAGTATGTGTGTTTGTTCGCTAATAAATCAGTCACTACTATAGTTATCGTCACCAAACTTTCAACAGTTCTTTTCTGGGTCCTGGAAAAAGTCCACTCCCCCCCCATAAAACGTTAAAATCAGAGATGTTAATTAAAAACGCTTAAATTTTATCCCTCATTTTTCCGAGCGGCAACAGTCTCGCAGGCTGTAGATAAAAATCTCCTTTATTTCGAGAAGTGTTGCCACTGCTCTCTTTCAAATCCTAGAGTTTGTTAATAAAAAATTTCCAAGTTTTGCAAGGAAATAAAAATAGCATTGCCAAACATTTAATACATTATTCCCGGTCCCAAAAATTCATGGGAAGCCATTTCGACTGTTCGCATCTTCGTACGACTTTAATCAGCAGAGATATTAATTAAAAAACTCCGAAAACACTCATTTTCGCACTTCTTTTTCCGAGTGGCAACAGTCTCCCGCGTTGGAGATAAAAATGCTTTCTTTCGAGAAGTGTTGCTACTGCTCGCTTTCAAATCGTAGAGTTTGTTAATCAAAAATTTGTAAGTTATACTGTAAGGATTATGTTAATTTTATTAACAGTTAAATTTTAAGTCAAAGTTCCTTTCCTGTCAAATTCTTAACTTCAACTTACTACTTCCGGCCAGAACGTAGTTTTGGAATTTGCTGAATATTTAATGAGAAGGAGCGGTATTTAAACCACGAAGTTACTTACCGAGTCAGAGAGAGAATCAGAGTTTTTGAACTACGCGCCTCTGCCTTTTTGGCCGCTCTCTCTCTCTCTCAAAGCTGTTTTTACGTACTCGGGCCCTTGCTAAGCTTCGTAGTCAAATAAGTTATGGGGCCAACTCTAATTGAACCTTGATAGCTTTGGCTATACTTATTTAGTTAATCTTAGTTTTAGTTTAATTCTTAGTCTTTTAAGTTCAAGTCCAAAGTACTTGTACACCAGGCGGAGTTTTGTTAAATCTTATCGAAATAATAAAGGGTTAGTTACCCTTCTCTTTTGTTGTTTCCTGTCAATCGAACTCTAGTGATTATTCGCTCATCAGTTCTTAGGTTCCTCACTTCCAACATTAACTTAGAATTCCAAAGTGAGGTACCTTACAATACAAAATCTATCTATCTATATATATAGAGAGAGAGAGAAAAATGCCTGTTTGTGTTTTTGTTTGTTTGTTCGCTTTTTGATTTCTGATGAATTAGGTTAAATTTTTTTGCCACATTTAATCGACTAAAATTGAATACAGATGAAATATTGGATGGAACTTGAGCTTTCACGACCATTTGATAAGAAAAGACGAAAATCATTAAGAACTGCGTGCCATTGTTGCTGATGTAATGAGAGAGAATTAGTTTATTTTTCTGTCGAAATTTTTATGTCTGTTCCATATCGCATCAGACTGAAAAATGTATGACTATGAATCGTATTCGCTCTCTGTTGTTAAATATATTACTTTCAATCTAACTTAACTGGCTCTGGGTACTTCTGCTAGTCTTAAATATTTAATAAATGAAATTTAAAATAAAATTCGTTTCAGTGTCCTTTGTACTTGTGAGAAATGTTTTATTTACGTTATATTGAAATCTCCGCTTTTTTGTATTAAAATTTATCTCTTATTGAAATTATCTCATATGTGGATAGAATAAAATATATATTCATTGTACTCGAACATGTCTCTGTAAGAAATTATTCCATCTGTCCGTGACTACTCTCAAAGAGAGGATGTTTAGCCCACCCGGCTAGCAAATTGGAATATCCATGGCTCGAACACCGTCAAGGCCACAGTTGACTTTTAATGCTTCTTGTTCCGCAAAACTAGTACACACAGTGGTGCTCGAATTAAAAATGGGATGGACGATAACTCGTCATCGCCGTGTGGATTTGGTTAACTGGGTCTTGTACCTCTCCCCAGTCGTCTTTTTAAAGTGAAGAAAACTGTATGGAAAATCTGTGGTTTTGCATACTGGCAAAGGTAAACATGAATTCTTCTTTCTCTTGCTCAAAATATTAATACTAATAATCATAGCAACAATAACGATGATAATAATAATAATGGTATATACATGTGTGATGGAATAATATATGTGTATGCACTGGTACCACACGATTACCTTCATATTCTAAGTTTCAGAAAAATTCAGAAGAATAACTCTCTATAAATCTTATGTATCTTACATGTCAAACAAACGTAACGGCAAAAAGAAATAAAAGTTAAATACATATCCATAATTTTTGAATTCTCTAAAGGCACATTAAATTTCTGTAAAAAAAGATTCTCTGCTTCCTTATTAATATTCAAGATTACAAAAGTTCTTTACTACAAAACATTTCTAAGACTGGATTTGAATAGAGTTTTATTATCATACACATATGATTTCCCTAACATTAATTTCTAAATTATCTTTGCTGCTCATATGATATAAGATATTGCTTCATATAATGCACGATTTACATTGTGTGACCAAGATTTGATTCGAGTTTTATTTTCTTACGCATTTGATTTTAAGATTAATCCTAAGATTGCCGCATGGGATACAGGATTTGCATTGTGTAACCAATTCCTTCTCCATAATTAACAGACAATGGGAGTATCAATATAAGTCATCAGCGACATCTTATAAAATAAAAATGAATATATATTTACCTGAACGACTCTTTCAAGCATGTGGGCGAGAGGTAAATAGGAAATCATACAATCTGAAGACTTTGGACCATTGATGCCCTGTAAAATTACAACATGCATCGTAAATAAAATGCTTTTTTTCCTAAAAATATCACATTATAATAATCAAGGAGAATGTCATTCATTTTCTACAAGATGCTCCGATAATGCAAGCAAATGATATTAAATGCTATTTATTTAATAGCCTTTCATGAAAATGGTGGCCACACAGAAGCACATCAGACAGGTCATGCTTTATGAGTATGAAAAGGTTGTAAGGTATATTTTAATTTTATAACCGTTATTTTAATTTTAAAGTGCTTTCCTATCAATTCTTGTTTCCATTTACATTTTCCTACCAGAATGACGTTTAAGCATAGCACTGAATGCAAATGAGTTAGAAGTAGTATTTAAGGAAGAGAGAGCGGTAGGAATCCTGACTAGAGTGTGTTTGCCTTCGGGCTAAATCTATTTTAAAGCTGTTACAATCAGCCGCATATTACGTGCCTCTTGATATTCGCCGGCTAGTTTCAATTAAGGGCCAACTACGTTAGATAATTGCGTTAGCTTCGAGTAAGTCTCTTATTTAGTTCTAATTTAGTTCTTATTTCTTATTCTGAGTTTAAGCCCGAGTGGAGGCTTTGTTGTAAGACCGAGAAAAGGGCCAGCTGTTCATCTTATTTTGAGTGAAATAAAGGGCATTTTAACCCTTCTCGAGTCTACGCTTTAGTTGTTTGAACTCAGCGATAAGTGGCTAACAAGTTCATTAAGTTCCTAAACTTTCATTTTAGTATAAGAAGAGTAAGGAACTGCACAAGGCAATAGATTACGGCTATTTTTATAGCTTTAGTTGCTCTATTGAATACTACTGAATACTCGAAGGGCCAACAATGCTTCTGTTAAATTCCGACAAGGAAACCTTAGCTTGAGAGATGCCAGCCGTTATGGGCGCTCTTTCTTTTCTCATAATAATGCGTTGGAAACTGCAGTTCAAAGAAAATCGCATGATGTTGTTGAAGAATTGCCAGATTCACCACGAGGATTTGGATTGGAAGTTCACCACGAGGATTTGGCGATTGAGTTCCTTCCATTCCGATCGTCTTTCAAGTCGAGGAGAGTGTAATGTATTTCCTCTCCCCTTACCAAGTGGCTTCGTCATGTAATTTGAAAACACGTCTGGCTAGCAATCTGAAGGTCCGGAGTTCGGTGAGGGTATTGCATATTGTTACGAAATGTACAGGCGCGGTGAGATAGCTTCCCCGCAAAGCAATTTTAGGGTTGTCATAAAATAGCGAAGAAGGCAAGCTTGCCACATTTGGCGAGAAATCGCCCATTTGGCTATATTTGGCGACAAAATCGGCGATATGCCATGGACGGATGGAGAACCTTCTGGAACGAATTCTTACCCGTTTAGCCCAGAATGTTCTCGAACACTAGCCAAGAGCTATATAAACCCTGTTGGTCCGCAGTCAGTCAGAGAGTGCCTCGTCGAGAGGGCGAGTGTGTGTGTGCCTCGCACAGAGTGCGAGTTAATTAGTATCGAGTGTGTGTTTCGTCTAGCAAGTCAGTCCGTGCGGAGTCGATCGAGTTGACAGCCGGGCAGCGAGTGGCGAGTAGGTCGTCGAGTGCACCGAAGGAATCTCTTAGTGCATCGCGGTTAGTGCATCGTCGAGAGAGCGTGTTGAGCTCCGGGAACGACTGAACCGAAGAGTCGGGAGCTGTGCTCTACGTATCGTCGAGTGCATCGCGAGTTGTAGCGTGGAGAGTCTCGAGAGTACGTGGAGTTCCGAGAACGACCGAGCAGAGCGGGGAGCTGTACTCTAGTGCTTTGCCGTGAAGCTGTCTCCACCGTGATAGCCTAATAACCTGGAGGCTGGGTCGCTGATTGTTCCAGCGTGTTTACTGTAGATCTTCGACGACTGTAAAAAGTGATTTTGAAGCTATCTGACAATACTGGAAAATAAAGTGTGTTTCCATACTTCATCAAGTGTCGTCGTTATTCACTCCAAATCTACGAACCCCGTACGAACGTGAAGGAAGAAAATAACGTAACAATATTTTCACGTCTCCTGCTATAAGATAAAGTGCCTAATAGTCTCTACAGTCACTAAGCTTATCATGTGGGTTCCAAATGCACTTACTGGCACAAGTCGAAGAGAACGCGTGAAAATGTGTTCTGCTCTTCATCCAAGTGAAAAACGTTCTGTTATTTGAACTATCTAGTGAGTGGTGATAAAAAGTGATTTGTGGTTGGAAGCTAACAAAATCTACAAAAAGAAAAGAATCTAATTATAAATTTTTTCAATGAAGATAATTCGGAAAGTGCCGACCAGACGCGAGAGTGGTTAGTGATTCTGACTGCCGTACCGAAGGGCTCGGGTTCGAATGCCGGAGAAGACACGGATTAAATTGTCAGCCTTTTCATAGGGGACAACGGCGGCCCACCTGTTATGTGCTTCCGATCTTAGTAGTAGCCAATGCCTATAAACAGGCTAGAGCCTGCCATCGGAAAAAAAAAAAAAAAAAAAAAGTCGGCAAAGCGTTGATGATAGAGAAACCCCATATTATTCGTTTCCCCATCTGAATATGAAACCTATAGGCGCTGTCATAAAAAACTCACGAGAGACACAAAGCCTGAATATGTCACACATGTACTCATAGTAAAAGAAATTCCAATGAAAACTCTTAGACAAATAACAAAAACCGTCGGAGAAGAGATTAAGCTTCTTCTTATATTTCTCGCTGAGATTGAACGCTACGAAAAAGGCAAGTTATAGCTTATGCAACTTAATGAACTTATCTGTTTATGTAGAACCTTTTAAAACCCCCCCGGGAACCTATTCATCGCCATAACTGTTAGTTTTATATGGATAGTAATTTCCATTGTCATCATAAGACCCTCTGTTTTAAGTGCGCTCAAAATTGCATTAATTATATTTATAAAAAAGAGAAAAATTTTCCTGGAAGAGTATAACTGTTTAACTGAAGTGCATAACTGTAACGTAACGTAATTTAACTAACGTTTGTAACTAGTAACGTAACTTATGCATTAAAGCTAAATAAAGAAATTAACTAAAAATTAATAAAGGAAAATAAATTAAAATTGATGCACGTGGTTCAAAAGATCGTAGCCGGAAAAAAAAATTGAAGAAAATATTATCCTTGGGAAAATAATAATAATAAATAAAATAAATAAAAACTATTTTGCATGACATCATTAGACCCATCTACGTCATTTTCGGGTAGCTCGAAGATGGCGACGCCATATCCTGCTGTAACGTGTCGGTGGCGGCACATGAATAGTGCGGATCCCTTGTTCTCATGGACCTTATAAGAAAGGTAAGTCTTATAAGGTCCATGATTGTTCTCTTCTTTCGTCATCTCTTGTTCTGTTACGCATTGACTTCTTCCGGGGCGGGTCCTTTTGACACACGAGGACCATGGGTTACGGCTTAGCATAATTAAAATGGCGCCGCCCAGCTGCTATAGTTGTTAGTGAATCTGACTGCCTTAATAATAGGCCGGGGTTTGAATCCCGGAGAAGGCATGGCTGTAACTGTCTGCCTCTTCATAGGAGGCAACATTGGCCACCTATTATTTCATCCATAATAAAATGGCCACCACTTCCGGCCCTTGTAGTGGCGCAAGACTATTAAACAAAGCACACGGCCATTAAAAGAATTAAAAAAAAAAAAAAAAAAAAGCACTTTCAAGGTGACTTAGTGAATAGTAACCATGGAGGTAAGAGGAGGTACTTCCTACCTCTATGATAGTAACTAATTACACTGGTTATCATAAATTAAGGAAAAATCACAAAAATAGCGATAATTCCCTCAAAAATAAGCCAAACCGTGTAAATTTTGAATATGTTGCCAAGTAAGAGCAGCTGAGTAAAACTGCAATATGCAAATTAGTGGCGCTGCACTTGGAATGCGTCATCTGCGAGGAGCATAAAAGTCTTTGAGAGCAAGCCCACATATTTCACTGTGATAGTGACATCAGAATTCTGAGATAGCCAATTCGCAACAATGACCTCCAGGCATCATTTGCCTGCAGAACTACGATGGCGAGCCATTGGGAGACTAGAGGCAGGATAAAGTCAAACAGAACTGGCCAGGTGGCTAAATGTGAGTCTTTCTGTGGGTTCATAGACTTTGGAGGCGATTTCAAACCACAGATCAGCCTCTAGGAGGTTCAGCCAAGGACGGCCAACTGCTACGACGAGTGCTGATGACCGATATTTGACATTATGTGCACGCAGGAATAGAACCGCTACTCCGACTCTTCTTAGATCCTCCCTTGCTGCAGCCACCGGAAGGTTGGTGTCAACGTCAACCATGCGTAGAAGGCTTCACGAAGGTGGTCTGTAGGCTAGACGACCAGCCATTTGCGTGCCGCTCACGTCATGCCATAGAAGGGACTGTTTGCAGTAAGCACGACAACGTGTCCACCGGAAGCTTGATCAGTGGAGGGCTGTCTCTTTACGGATGAGTCCAGGTTTAGTCTAGAAAGCGATAGTAGGCGTTATTTGATATAGAGAGAACCTGGAACCTGTTATCATCCGTCAAACATCCGTTAAAGAGATGCATACGGAAGAGGCAGTGTCTGTGTTTGGGGTGGCATCTCTTTGGGTGGACGCACAGACCTCCCTGTCTTTCCAACGGAAACCGTGAATGCTCCGGTTTATAGAGATGACATCCTTGATGCTTACGCGCGCCCATGTGCCGGGGCAATAGGTGATGCTTTCCTGTTACAGGACGATAACTCAAGACCACACAGGGCTCGCATCGTAGATAATTATCTTCAACAGGAAACAATTATGCGCATGGAGTGGCCAGCTCGATACCTGGACTTGAATCCTATCGAGCACGTTTGAGATGATTTAGAGAGACGTCTAGCTGCTCTCAATATGCCCCGTCAGACCCTTGCCGCGCTTGCAACGGCTTTGCAAGAGCAATGGCTCTCGCTTCCTATGGAACTGATAGACCGCATAATTGAAAGCATCAAGCATCACCGTATGTGCTCTATTGCTTCTAGAAGCGACCATATTCCCTATTGAAGGTACTTTTCCTTATAGCAAACTGACACCTTCGATTTGTTCATTTGATTCATGTGCTAATTTCTACACTACCATAATTGTCTGGTAATTTATTTTTATATTATTTGATACCTTACTATATGTTGTATACTGTGGGTAAGTTTTATGAAATTCTACATGTAACGTTTTAGTAATCGTGATTTTTGTGATTTTTCCTTAATTTATGATAACCAGTGTAATTGGAATCTCGTGTTTTTTGGAATGAAAGAAAAAAACTTACCATTTGTAAAATAACAGCACTGCTGCATGATATTATATTACCATGAGTAAGTAAAACGCCTTTTGGGTCGCCAGTAGTTCCACTGGTATAACAGACTGTTGCTACATCCGGTGGGGTCGGAGGCTAAAACAAACCAAAGAAAGTTACTTTAAATTTTAAAGCACTTAAAATAGAGCCAATGTATTTTTAACCAAATTTTCCATTCATTTGAAATTTATTACAAAACTGCTGAATTTCCAAAACAATTTTTAATAGAAAACATGCGACATTCAGCTTTATAGCTGTTGGCAACCGCCGTTGATTCCCCGTTGATGAAGAATAAAATGACGTCTTCCACACACATGACAAACATTTATTTAAAATACGAAGACCTTGAACAGCAGAGTAGAAACATGATATTACACAGCGCTTAGCACTTTTCGCTTACATGCAATACTCACCATTGACTTTGGCTAACTACATATCAACTGAGTATAAATATTACGCAGCAGAGAACTTGCTTATCACGCGCATGCGCTAGGGGAATCAACGGCGGTAACCAACATAGCCCCTTTCGACGTTGATTCTCCTATTCCTGAAAAATAAAACAAAATACATATTAAACAGTATTCAATCCTACAATTGTACACAGTTTTGATGTTTTTTTACAGGAGTCAGGGGTTTGATTAACACATCAGCTCCCATTTCACTGGTAGGTATGTACTGCACGTCTAATTCACCGCGTTCATATACTTCACGCACAAAATGATGGTGAATGTCTATGTGCTTTGTATGGGAGTGAAACACTGAATTCTTCGTAATTTTCTGAGCTCCTTTATTGTCGCAGTATATTGTTGTTGGGTGTTCTATGTTGTAACTTTTGCGGCCTCAGACAAAGCCATATATTCCGCCTCCATTGAAGATAGAGCTACATTGCGTATTTTTCGTGATTCCCAGGTTACTGCTGAACCACTTAATATATATACAAAACCGGTGTAGGATTTTCTATCATCGACATTTGACACCCAATCTGCATCCACAAAGGCGATGAGTGGTTTTCCTGTTTTCGTATAAATTAGGCCTTGATCTGGTGTTCCCTTTAGATATCAAAGTATTCTTTTCGCAGCATGCCAATGTTCTTTTCCCGGATTGTTGTTAAAAATGACTTAAAAATTCACGGCGTATGGATATCTGGCCTAGTAGCTACTGAAAGGACATTAGTGATCGATCAGATTTCTAAATGGAACATTTTTCATGTCAGCGATTTCGTTTTCGTTTTTAGGACTCATCTCTTTTGATAATTTTTTGCTATTATCTATAGGTGAAGACACGGATTTAGCATTTTGCATATTATACCGATTTAAAATATCATCAACGTATTTCTTTTGAGCAATTTTAATTGAATTCTCATTTTGGTGAAATTCTATGCCCAAGCAATAATGTAACTTCCCCAAGTCTTTCATTTTGAAAGCTAAACTATTGCGAATTGTTTCATACGTTTGCTTAGAATCGGTAAAAACGATAAGATCGTCTAGATAAACGATTATAATAGTTTCACGTTAGGCGTCTTTTTAATATAAACACAATTATCTGAATTAAGAGATTTAAATTCATAGATTTCAATTTTTCATCCAACTTTTGTACCACTGACGTCCTGACTGTTTAAGACCGTATAATGGTCTCTTTAAAAGACACACTTTATCTGAATTAGTTTCATCGCAAAAACCTTCGGGAATTTCCATGTAGATTTCTTCATCTAAATTTCCATTTACATAGGCCATTACAAAATCTAATTGGTAACCTTTGAGATTGTGTTCTACTGCGTAGGCTAAAACTGTTCTTATGGAACTTAATCTAGCAACAGGGAAAAAGTTTTCAGTGAAATCGAGACCAGGGATTTGAGCGCACCCTTTAGCAACTAGCCTAGCTTTGTATTTTTCGATAGTGCCGTCGGGATTATATTTTAATTTAAGAACCCATTTGCTACCAATAACTTTCTTGTTTTCAGGTCTGCTGTCCAACGTCTTCGTAGTTTAAATAAATGTTTGTCATGTGTGTGGAAGACGTCATTTTATTCTTCAATAGCTTTCCGCCATTTAAAGATTCTTCACGTCTCCCAGTTGTGTCTTTCCTTTTAAACATAAGTCTGTGTATTTTCTTCGTTGCCTGAATTTCTTTCTGCCTTTTTACGACTAATTTTAGTTAGTTTTATTTTTTTAGAAAAATTAATCTACGTGGCATTTAATTAATAAACGATGAAAAATCATTATACGGTCAACAATTTGTGCATGATTTTCATGGATTTTATAAATGAATGCAGAAACCTTTCAGCTTCAGAGGAAAGGTTATGTCTTTACCGGTAAGTTTTCATTTGAAATTAAACATAGTCGAACAACCCCATTAAGGGATACTGCATTTTAGCGGGCACATCTTATTAACGGGCAGTTCCTTAATTCCTAGATCATGGAAGTAAGAAATAAGTATACTCCTATTTAGCGGATATTCCCTGAAAATAGAAAAAAAAATATTTGTCTTTTGAAGTTAAAGGAAGGTTCCACTGAATTCTCGTTTTACTAGAAAATTGATAACAAAGAGTAATTATTGAACCTTCGGCTGAAGAAAACAGAAAGGCAGATTCCGGCTTCCATCTCTAAACTGTAGGTACTACACATTTTCATTAATCATTGCTCACTCAACAAATCATTGCAGAATTTCAATCTTTACCACTGTCGAAAAGATAAAAAAATAGTGTTTCGAACAAAGATTTTTTTAAAAAATCTGGTGGTTTTCTAAAACTTTATAATGATTTAACTATTCTACAGTTTTTATCAATGAATTTTTTTCAATCAAATCATATAACTCTTTATTGTTAACATGGTAAACCCATGACTTTAAAGGATGACGAGATCCGATTTATAAATCAAACAGAAATTTAGATAAACTGTAACGTTTCAAGAGATTGGAAAGAATAATTTTTCTGAGTTGAGAGAATAATTATCTTTCTTTATCGCTTTTCTGTGTTCTACGGTCTTAGCATAAAATACAATACATAATATACTTTTTTTTAATCACATATGATTTTAATCAAATGCGCTAGAAGTAAAAAATAATGTTTTAGCGATCATAATATTCAATTAGAAACAAAGTCCAACATTAAGAATCAACGTAAATATTTTAAAAATTTCTGCAAAAAAATTTACGCTGATTCTTAATGTTGAACTTTGTATTTGATTGTTATTCAGAGTGATATTTAAACTAAACTAAATCATAATATTCTTGATCAAATGTAACTAAAACTTACATTATTGGGGCTCGCATACAACGAATAAGGTACTAACAGAATTCCATCGAACAATAAAATAGATGGTATAGAAATGATATATATTAAAGTGACTAAATGTTTCTGTGAAAATATCATTCATTTAAAATCAGACATTTTTAGCACCTTCAATGTTAATCACATATGATCAAGAATATCATTTTTTTACTTTTTAATACGTTTCACTTAAATCGCGAAAAAATATTTTTATATGCAGGGCGTCTCGTAAATGTTGCGACGAACTTCTGGGGGCGGTAGGGCACATCCCAAGGATTAAGAATTGCATAGGAATCCATGCCCGGAAATGTCAGGGGTAGGTGGTAGCAGAGGTAGAAGATGGGAAAAGAAACAAGAGCGATTAATTCGAAACATTTATTGGACATGAATACAAATGGTGTACGACAGCTTGAAGATTTGAATAGATGCTCGATGTTTGCACCATCAGACGCCAAACATGCCTGACACCGACGGATCATTGATTGCCAGACATGTTCAAACACATCTGGAGTTTCTTTGATTGTAGCAGCTGCGCAGACGAGTCTTGCCACGAGATCCATTTCAGACGCAACAGGATCGTGATACAAGACACTTTTGATGGCTCCCACAACAAAAAAAAAAAAAAAAAAAAAAAAAAAAAAAATCAAGGCTTGATAAATCCGGCGAGCTCAGGGGCCAGGGAACCGATCAACTATGCCCAATCCATGGATGCGGAAATGATCTGTTCAAATGGCTACGAACATCCAATCCAAAATGAGCAGGCGCCCCATCATGTTGGAAGCACATGTTGACAAGCTCTCCGTTCGCATAGCTTTCCATGCTCTTCGTATGATGCCTGCCGCTCGAACGAGGCAATCCTCACTTTCCACTAGCACTCTCCTGTACAACACCCTCTGGCGGCGTACAATGACGTTTCTGGGCCAGGGGTTCCTATGCAGTTCTTAATCCTTATGATGTGCTCTACCTTCGCCATAAGTTTGTCGCAACATTTACGGGACACCCTGTATTTTATTACGAAGATTAAGTCTGAGCAAATAGTTGATAGTTAATTATGTTAATTTTAGACTCAAGAATAATTTTAAAAAGCAAAAAACAAATATAACTTACTACAGCTTCACATGGATGTACTTTTCCTGCTTCCTACAAGACAAGAATTACTTTAATTACTCTTAGTAATATTAGTGTTTCGAATAACAGCATATTTTATAATATCGCACACGTATCGTTGCTGAAGAGTTTTACATTGTTTGTTACAATCAACAAAAGGGGAAGAAAATGCTTACTTCTACATCCTTAAAGAAAAGTAGTTGTACTCCCAATGTTTGTGCGCGAACTTTCAAAGGATCTGATATACTGTTAACGACGATAATTTGTTTCAGTTTAGGTGTATTAGACATTTCGTTCAAAATACTTTTTACTTTGCTCTCGTTGTCGCAGATGACTGTCTTGATTTCGGCTGAAATGACACAATGATTACAAAAAATTTAAATACAGTTCTTGTTTAATAATCTCGGTACTTTCTGAGTATCAGTACCTTTTTGTAAAGACGTAATTTTTTGGTTTCTGACATAAAAAAGGTTATACCTGACTGTTATTAAGTACTGTAGCAGAAGTTATTATTAAAATCCTTTTATTTATCTAGTTATTTAAATCCAATAAATTAGATGCTATGTTTACTAAACATTACATTTCATCAAGAATGGTCATATTAATTTATGCAACTGATATTTGGAACTATATTTTAAAATAAATTATCAAGTATTAATAGTGGGAAAACTTGTATGAAGGCCACAGCTAAATAATACCCACCGACTGCAAAATTAAGAAGTGGCCATATAGATTTTTGTGCACTTATACACAAAAATCTATTTACCACCTTGGTACAGTTTGACGAATTTTACAAAAAGAAAGCAATGATTGTTGCAAAAATCATTAATTGCATACACATTTTATGTTTCAACCATGTATTTATCTCAAAAAACAATCAACACATTTACTTACAAGCAATCGTGGCGATTGCTTTTTAAAAAGATTCAAAGTGTTGTTCCTTTAGTGATTTTGGGACAATGTACTGCATTCTTTTAGAAATTTTACCTCAGGAAATTGAGCTTAAGACAAAAAGCAAGCACGATTTGTCCATAAAAACCGATGGAAATTATTATTATTTATTATGGCCGCATAGACGGGAAAGTGAGTAGTGTCTCTGACTATGTACCGAAGAATTCAAGTTCGAATCCCGAATAAGACATGAATGTAAATTGTTTGTCCCTTCATAGGCCTCTCAGAGGTTGTGCAGGAGAATTCCTGGGAGGTACCGGCTAGGATCTGTACTTAAGCAGTTTCAACCACGGGGGTACATAATTAGCCTTCACAGTACAAGAACCCCGTTCATTCGGCGGATGGTTCAGGCTCGGCAGGGACCGTACTAGTACCGTCTTGTCTGCCCCTTGTCGCACCATTGTTAGATATTGTGGCTGTTCTTGAGAGTTCGGTCCCCTTCGGTTCTGTTTGGGAAACCAACATTTCAGACGGTATTCCATCTTACATTCAGACGATTACACTTGTGACTGCCGGGGTAACGTCCGGTAGCATTCATGTCGTGGCCTAGCGGGGACCGCGGGGGCTGCGCCCTCTGGAATGGTCTCCGCCGTATGGATGCTGATTCCTGAAAGGCCAATTCGCTATGTGCAGGAGTCCGTCTCTGGTAGTCTGTCCTTTCATAGGAGGTAACGGTGCCCGTTTATTATGTGACTCCATTGTAAAATGACACTGCTTCTGGCCTTAGTAATCCCCAAAACATATAATGTATATATTACGTACTCTACCATTTGGTACGGCGGCGGATGGAACGGAGCGAATTTCACTGACTTTAATCACTTATTCCAGTTTTTGGACTTCGTTTCCTGACTATGACGTCACAATTTTATTTGTAAATATGCATATAACTTTGATTACTATTAGTATTGCTATATTTATTTGTAACTGTACATGTATTTATCCGTGAGTTTGATTGTATTGATTGTATTCTTATGTTGTACAGTCACAAACGAAAGAAATACCTTGCGGTTCTCTCTTGTTACCTCTTATTGCCTCTCTCCTACGAAAACCGTGCCCAAGGAAACATCATAGTCATGCTCCCCAGAGCTCCTCTTCAAATGAGCTAGACAACGTCGTGCCAAATGTACGATATTCCAGCATATCAGAAGAACTTGGAACTTGGGAGGGAGCGAAGCCCCATGGAGGACTTTTTAAAAGAAACTAGCTCATATCCTCACAGCGTTTTCGTTGAAAAATCGTGAAAACGCCCATGCAGCTAACCCGTTCCCCGCGACTCTAACTCCCGGACCAAACTACCTGTATTCGGTGGCTTTCACTGCTTGACCGCTAATGAGCCTAGTCGATGGAACTTGGAATAAACAAAAAGAACGCAAATGCAAGCACTGGTTGTTAAAAACAGAATTGTTATGCAATGTTTGCCAGAGTTTGGTGCATTTTTAAAAGTTGGCGATTTCTACGAAAGTGTTGGGATAATACATAACTACCGATTTCTTTCCTCATAAAATTTCTTGTTTCTTATAAAATGTTTCCTTGTGTTATTTTTATTATTATTATTTACGAAAAGAATAGTACCTATGAGCATTAAAGATATCTTATGAGCGTTAAGGATAGAAAATAACGATTTTCCGTGGGTGTGCGGATAATCAGAAAGTATGATAATTTCTTACCTAATAAGAATTACAGTAACACCTGAAATCAGATAATACTGTTTCATATTTCCAAAACTAGAATTTTATATGCCGGTAAAATTGAAATAGTGTCAAAATACAGAAGGTACAGCTCAAAATACAATAATACAAAATACACACAATTTTGTAACGATTTTGCATAAACAAACCTTAGAATTTTATTTTCTAATATGTTCAGTTTGATAGCACTTTTGTTGAACTATCATATTACACCTTGAATTTCAAGATAAAAGTCATTTTTTTAAAACGTCAAGGTTGATTTTATTCCACTCCTCCTTCATAATCCTCCAGAGTCCATCCAATGTTCTGGGATGCCGCTTATAAAGAACTTGTTTTAAAAGTACAATTGCACAATAATCTATAGGAGACACATCGGGGACTTGGATGGGATGCATTTAAAGCGAGTAGATTCATTTCCGGTTTCATTTCACATTTTTGCAAAAAACATACCAGTAGATTTAGAGGTATGGATTGAAGTCTTATTCTGAAGGAATATAACGCAGTGAAGATCGTTTGGATAAACAGGTGGAATTTCTTCTTTAAACATAGATGCCAAAACATATTTCTGATAATAATTCGAATTGATTTTGATATTTTTTTCTACTTTTTTATTTTAAATTTTCCGTTATAAGAGAATCCAATAATAACCATGAAACCTTTAGAAAAACTTTTCTTGTTTTCTTTAAACCGACATATCAAGTCTTTTCCTCCTCTTTTTCGGTAGTAAGTCGATCTTTTTGTATTTCAATGAAATATATATATCCAAGCCTCATCAACTGTAGCTATATATTTATATTTTACACCTGCCAAATAATTTTCATATCGCAATCTGCATCTAGTCTTATCCCGAGAAACATGTTCGGCGTTAGCCGATGAACATCATGTTTTTTTGTTTTGATTAGCTTTAAATCAGATTTTATAATTTTGTTCACAATTCCTACAGAGGTATTTAAAGATTTTGCAATAGCTCTTTGGGGTGGGGCGAACTGGATTTTTGCTTTAAATCATGAGATACGACTCATGAAGAAAATCGAAATCGTTACAAAAATGTGTAAACACCCTCTGTATACTTTTCTAAAATTTCCATGTTCTTCTATTCATAAAGTTTTAAGTTCAAAACAGAATGCAGAAACATTCGCCAAAGCTTTAAAATTGAAATTCTTTTTAAACTGAGGTTTCATTTTATTCGATTGTAAAAAAATAATTTTAAAAACTTTCAACAGTTTTTAATTTAAAAAGAAAAGAAAAATGTTTCTATGTTTTTAATTTTTCTATACTTTTTTAATTATTTAGATTTTTAGTGGCAAACTTTCCGTTGAGTTGTTACACTAAAAGATTTTAGTTTGTAATTTTTTAATTCTTTATTAATTACTGTAATATTCATTTCTGTAGATATTAATGGACAGAATAACATTCCTATTGATGAACAAATTCATATGCAAACTCTGGCTTACCTTGGTTAATTATGAAAGAACATGCATGTGGACCGAGTGTGTCATACAATGGAACAATTATAGCTGATAATCGGTAACTAGAATGTTCTGTGATTACCCACTGTAAGAAAAATACGCATACTTTAATAAAATCGTCTGAATTTTCTCAGCTTTCAAAATGTCATTAATAATTTCGTTAACCATTTTAGATGTTAAACAAAAATAAATTTAAAAAAAAAACTAGACAACATTATATTTGTAAATTTAATATAGAGCTGGGAAAAAAATTTTTTTTTACCTCAATGCTGTTCTGAGAATATATTCCTATGAAAGTTTCTTGTCCAGGTTTTGTTCCATAATGTACAAGACCAGATGAGAAATTTTTTATTCTTTCCAACACCTAGAATATAAATTAATGATTACCAACAATAAATATTTCAACATTAGTAGGTTAGTAAATTTTAGTCACCAATATTAAAGTACTTCTGTATATTATATTCATGACATCAAAATTCCTGGTTTAGAATTCACATAAATATTTTAAATTACCGATTAATTATTCTCCTCTGAAAACTCGACATTTTAGTGATTCCATTAATTCCTCCTAATAAACTACTAAAGAAATTCTCATTCAACACTTTGCAGTATTTAGTTTTGCAATATTTTCTATTCTATTTCCAAAAACCTAAGCATAAAATAATTAGTTTTAGTTAATAATTGAAAGATTTTTATTATATTAAATGCTTAATTTATTACACTTTTATTACATTACATTAGTGAAAAATTACTACAATTGGTTTCATAAAAATTTTCTAATGGGAAGTAATGTAATTAACATTTTCAAAGCTTTACTACACCTAAAACCTCATGCTCAGTTTTCCATTAAGAATTTTTTTTTTTTTTTTTTTTTTTTCCCCCAAATTTCACAGACAAAAAAATTCTAAATTGCAAAAATAAATAAATAAAAATAGATTAGGAAATGAATTCAGATTTTCAATGTCTTTTTATTGCCTGATTGGTTAATTAATTACAACAAAGCACATGATAAACGGTCTTTCGAAGGTAAAGAGTGTCTCCTTCAAGGAATTCCTAAAGACTGCTTGTTTTTGTTATATTTTATTAACTAGGGAAACTATAGACACTTCACGCAGTCAACCCTTCCAGCTACCGGAAAAGAAATTCGCTTGTTTATTTAATTATGGCTAAGCAGTCTTGGCTATTTATTCAAGGGAAGGGATGGCTTCGTGGAGCACTTTCTAAAGGAAACTGTCCTGCATGCACGTTATATATGGGGGAAAACAATAAAATGCAAGTTATTAAATGCAGCCAGCCCGTTTGCCGGGATCTGAACCCAGGACTGAACGACCGGTGTTCAGCGACTTTACCTCTCATCCGTTGGTATGTCCAGGAGGGAGGGAAAAAATCCGAAAGGACCCGAAAGCGTTACGTGGCTTTAATTGTCCGGTTTTAGTGATCTTGTTTCCTGCTTGATAAAAATAACAAAATTAATGTCAAGACTTTACTCTACAGCTTTAAGATAGCGTAATGCGCGTGAATGAATATAAAATATTTCACTATAGGATTTCATTGCCAATATTTTGTCATGAAATATATCATAAAAAGTATATTTATTTTATTGGGCTTTGAAAAATATATACTGTTTGGAAGCGAAATGATGTTATGAATAAAACCTTTTAGGCTTTATGATTATTAATATATCATAAAGATTTTTAGCTGATAAAAATATTTAACTTGAAAAATAATATTAACTCATCGTTATTTGTTACGATTTTAGAGGAACGCAAAAGCAAGTAAAATTAAGACTCTAACGATTTATATAAAACTAATTCCAAAGTGCAATAATTAAATGCATCTCAAAGCTCATTATTTATCCTGATTTGTTGGCAGATTTCAGGCAAGAAATTTAATGCAGACCTTTCCAACTAACTTCTTGCATAGCAACACTTACAGATGAGATAATTTTTAACCCATTGTTTTAACGCACATGTAACTTTTTCGTTACAAATATGATAATTTTTACTTCCTTGTACATTCTTTATTAATTTAGTAAAAACTGCTTATTTTTTCGTGCAAAAATAAAAATCCACTGTCGTTATAACGCCTTTGCCTGCAAAGAATATTTATTGCAACGAGCAGTGCAAAAAGTTCCAAACTGATGAGAGTACATTATATATTATTGATTATTAAATAGATTTTCATTATAAAAGGACTTCACAAAATCGCACAGGCCCTCGCTGCATTTACATCTGTAAAATTTTTCGTCGTTGCCGCACAAGGAGGATTAGGGTGTGCAGGTTATTTTAAGTTTCTAACAGTCAGAGCCAGATTTAGACTCGATAAGACCCTAAGCTATTTGAAATATGGGCTCCTTTATCAGTCTGTTATAATATATTTTAATACTACTTATACTATATTTTAATTTTTTAGCCCTCCCCCCCCCAAGAAAGGGGAGGCCCTAAGCTATAGCTTGTGTAGCTTATACGTAAATCCGGCCCTGCTAACAGTTATTTTAATTTTTATACGTACTTTACTGTCTATTCTCGTTTCTCACTTACTATTCCTGATGAAAATAAGTTTTTAGTATCGCGTTGCATGCAAATGAGGTAGAAAGAGTATTGAAAGGAAGGTTTCGCTTGCTTCAGCAGAAGAGCTTAGGAGTCCTTACTGGCACGAGTCAGGCTACTTCATTGCTTAAAGATAACTACGCTCGACCGTACTGTACGCGCCTGCGATTATTCGCCGGTTAATTTAAATAAGTAATTAGATAATTTTGTACAGCTTCGGCTAAGTTCACTTTAGTTCAGCATTAGATTAGTTTCTTATTTTCTTATCTTGAGTTAAAGCGCAAGTGGAGGCTTTTCTGTAAGCCCAAGAAAGGAGCCATCTGCGGCCTTAGTTAGAGATAATAAAGGGTGAGTTTAACCATTCTCTGGACTTTTCATTTATACACTTGGACTCAGCGATATGCCGCTACATAGCTCAACAATGTTTCTACTGAGTTAAGCATACAAAATAGTTAGAAAGTAGACAAAGTAGTTAGAAGCATTCAACGGGACTTTTAGCAAATTATAAGATTCGACCATCTTCCTCAGCAATCGTTATCATGGCAACGAGGCAAGCAGAAGTGAAGAAAACGACCAGGAAGTGTCTATTCTAAAGTAACCTACCACAGATAAAGAATTTCTAAAAGTACTTTGCTATAGTTACAGCCTCCTTTAAGATGCTAGGAGTCGGTATTATAAGTATACACTGTAATTTTAAGATTTCTATTTCTTAGATAATTCTGTTCTTTACTGCGCAGCACGAATGAATGCTAGATCACACTTTAAAGTTAGTGATGCAATCATTGGAAAAATGGTAATTTATGATAAACTTCAATACCTGATTGTAAGTGATGAACTCGTACTCAGCATCACTAGAAGGTCTCCATCCTAAGCAAGGACCGTTACCTGAAATGCAGCATAATCAAAATAATGCCTGAATAGTAAAAGAAACAGAATTCATATACATAGAACGCTGACTATCAAAAATTAACTCTACTTATTTAATTAAAATAAAACCATGTGTTATATCAGTAAGATTTGTTTAGTATTGAATTAAATACCAAAGAGTTCGAAATAACAATAGAACAATAGAACTTCCTAATATCAGAAGAGTTTGTGATTTTATTCATAACATTACAAGAAACAAAAGTATTTAAATTGATTGCTATTTCATACTTCACGTTATAGAATGGAGACTAATATATTTTAAATTAATCCTTCTTAAAACCAATAAATCGGTACACGGACACGATAATAGCATTTGACGGCAGGAAGTAGTTGTCAGGTTTTTTTTTTTTTTTTTTTAATGAACTAACAGCTGACCAGTTTTCTTCAAATAATCAATAGGAGCATTCCTAATGCTGATCGAGAGTTTTGTAATTCTGATCTCGAATTACTCAATACTTAACACTTTTAGGAGAAATGAGGAGATATAGTATTATATCTAGCATTTAATAAATTTTAACAAACATGCATATACGTAAAAAGCAAATTTAAAGTTAAAATAATTAAAAAATGTGCAAACATATAAAAGATTTAATTTTCCAACTAATCTACAATATCATTTAAATTCAGATAGCATAAGTAAATCAAGTGCAAAACCAAACCATGAAAATAAATTCACCAATTTAGCAAATTAAAATTAATCTAAAATTTTTTTTTTTTAAATGTATGACTGTTGAGCAGGCAGGAGACAGACTTATCAAGGGGAAGTTGCCTCCAAACCTAACTCTACAATCATTCAATTCGGGTTTCGTCATTCATGCAGGCAAGGGTAAAAGTCAAAACCAAAAGTAAATACATAGTCAAGAATATCCAAAAAGAAATACCAATAAAGTGGTACCTTGAGAAATTAGCAATTAAAATAAAGGTCTAAAAGGAAAATACCAATAATGAAGTATTTTGAGAATTAAGCAATGTAAAGTCTAGTATTAAATTAATTTTTTTTTAAATTTTTACAGTGTAAAGACATTAGGTTATTTTGAGGCCAGAGAGATGAAAAATTAGCAACCGCCTTCGCCGGGAATCGAACCACGGACCTCTGGAATACCGGCCCAGCGTGCAGAACCATTACACCACGAAGACACGCTAGGAAAGTGGGAGAAATACCTTATAACAGAAAAAAAATTATCATGATACTATGTCACCATAATCTTTAGTAAAAGTTATTAACACATTTTAACATACAACCATCTCAACAATCTTCTAAACTGCTCAATGTCCATCTCAGAGCAGTTTAGGACAATTTAGTTTCAAATGTTTAATTATATGCATTAAAATGTCATACAAATTTAGCATACAAATAATTTAACATGAAAATGTAATTGCTTTTTTAAACGTTATCTGCCTAAAATAGTAATTATATATGTCTATATATGTAATAAATTCTGCAGCTACCTGATAATTCTTTACGGCCTATGTAGAACGATAGACTTGCCCATATTCATAGATTCAACACATACTTTTACTTCCTAATAACTAATTCTTTACGACACATATTGTTCTTTACAGATCATCAGTATGAATGTGATAAGCACCGCTAAAACTGATCACATCTCGAGACAAATGAACGACACAGACACGTGCAAGAAGAGCGAGAAGAAAGATCGTAAGCTAGTGTGCATTTCAGCAGAGATATTTATAGAAATGTCTTCTTTGTTTAAAGTTTGAACGATGACCAAAAAGTATCCGCAATGCTACTCTTACATAATGGCATAATGCGAATTAATTTTTAAATGAAGAACTTAAGATTTATATATTAGTAGTTTTAAGACAGGAAGGATATGTTACCAAATTCAAAAAATTGTTAAATTAAAGCTTCGTTCATATTATATATCTTATATATGTATATATTAAATTTCATAAAATATTAAATATTTTATGAAATTACACTAGCTGGACTCATTAACGTTGTTATATATATATATATATGATGTATCAGCTTTTGTCCAGAATAAATAGATCGTTGAAGAAATATAGATGTAGTCATAGCTTAAATTATCAGACGATAAGTTTAAAAAAACAGGATCCATTTATTATTATTCAGGAGAAATAGCAGTTACAAAAATTCATATCTCCGGAGTAAATAAAAAAGAATTACTAATAACTTTTTGTATGAAGTTTACTGCGTTGTTACATTAAAGAAAAAGCCTCCGATATTCTTTTGCGAGTCATTTTATAGCCTCTGGAAAAGCGGAGCTTCCAATAAATGACATCAGCCTCGTCAGCCAATCCAGTTCGCTTTAAATATTTCCAGAACATTCTATAACTGTACGTGTAGAAAAGGCGGGAAAAACAACTTGACTACGGGGCTGTGGATTTAATTCCACGTACTTTCAAATAAGAGACCGTCGCCATTAAAAAATGGAAAGAACAAACAGTTAGAATTTTAAATGTATTCTTGACTATGAAATTTTATTATTACAAATATATATATAACAGTTTTAATGAGTCCAGCTAATTATCCAGTGTAATTTCATAAAATATTTAATATTTCAAATTAGTTGCTCTACCGAATGGCAACACCCTCAGATATGGAAGATAAAAGTATTTTATTTTAGACAGTGATAACACATAGTTTTTAAATAATCAATTTGTTCATTAAAATCGAAAAATATTACATTTTGCTGAATGGCAACGGACTGATGTCCTGGAGATTAAAATGCTTTATTTCGAACACTATTGTTACTGCTGCCCCTTTTAAACCGGTGAGGTTGTTAAACAAAAACTCCTTAAATTCGTACAAAATATAAAATAAATAAAAAACAAATTCAAAATGCAGACTTCAAGTCCCACATGTTCGGATGGAAGATTATGTGTGTTCAAAGTCTGGTGCCTCTACGTGCCGCCATTTTTTTAGAATGCTAGGAACATACATACATATCCTGCATTATTTAATAATTTAAAAATAAAACTAATTCCGTACGAATATAGGTAATAATTACTCAGTGAAGACTTTTGCGACTGTGTACTCTCATAATTTTTTATTTAATGAAGCAAAAAAGTATAGGATTAAAAACAAGACCGAGAAATCTGTGCATATGAAAAAGTTTAAATGGTACTCGGGGTTTATTTCTCGAAATGACAGTAGACTTTGCATTCTCCAGTTATCCAGGTTTCTGATAGCGCAATTTCCTAGGATTTTCTTCCGCAATGACACAAAAGTAACCTTACTGGAGAAATATTAGAGACAAAATTTTATGATAATTCTCCGAAAACTAAAGAGAAATAAATATTTGTGATGTCGCCAGTGTTTTAACACCTGGCCGGTGGCCCAGACTATTACTAGAGGTAGCTGATTACTCTTTTGAATGCTTCGAAAGAGGAAGTACTTTTTCTCAACTAACCAGTTGTAATCTCTTTTAAAAAATATCTAAAACGAAGAAGAGTATGTGACAGCAGAAAGCGACTGTGTCGTGTTCAAGACGATATCCTAGTTCAGAGTGACTTAGTTTCGATTTCATCATTTGATTGGCTAATTATGATATCTCTAAAGTTGTTACTGGCTATTGAGTTTCAGTTCAAAAGACCGTCTACATCTTATGTAAAAAATCATATGACATGTATCAGTTTGGAAATGAAGCAGTTTAGAGAAGTTTATTACAAGCAGTTACTATTTTTAGAACAGAGAGGGTAAAATATCCAAATTAAAATGAAGAGGTAATAAGCTATTTCAAATTAGAGTTAGAATTTTGTTTTAGATATTTTTTTTTTTATTCTTACATACTTACATCTCTCTCTATATATATACATATAGGCTTACCAGATGTCCCGCTTTGACAGGGGAGATCCCGATTTAATGATAAGGTTTCTGCATGTCGGTCAATTTGTCATTTTGTCCCGGTTATTTGATAAAATTTTTAAAACTGCCGAATATAAAAGTAAAAATAGTACAGCCTTGGGTAAAAGCGGATTTTTGGCGATTTGCCAATTAAAACATCCCTTCTGTCACACTCATTCTCGTCGATCTAAATATTTTGTATCTAGGTCTATGCACTTTTAATGTTGTCTAGATGTTTTCCTCAAAAATTATAGTATAGGGCTTAATGAATATAGATGTTTTATTCTTTTGTCCAAATATTTTTTACAAGAATTTCCTGGCAAATTTCCAGCCCGCTGAAACACTAAGTGCCTCTTGGCCACGGTAAATTTAAATCAGCGACCTTACACAACACTGGTGTGCAAAAATTAAGGACGAGACGGTTTTTTTCAATATAACTTTGTAAAAAAGCTTTCCAAATCAACACATTTAATACCGTAAGATCCCCAATACGTAAGGACATGAGTAATGTAAGCAACACTTACTAAAAGAGAAACCAGAGGGATAAAAAGAAGCTTTATTGAAAAAGTAGCATGGAGCGCAATGCGACTGAAGGCCGAAACATCCCTGTGATGGGTGTCCAGCAAGAAACATCCGGTCTTTAATAAGGGATATGATCTCTCCTGACTGCTAGGCAGGTTTCACAGCGTGTGCCCATGCTGAGAATGAGGGTGTCAATGAGTTGTTGAGGCATTGCTGCCCATTCGTCTTGCAGCGCCAATCGAAGCTCCGTAATCGTTACTGGCGGTAAGGTAAGAGCTGCCAAGCGTCTGCCTAGAAAATCCCATACATGCTCGATGGGATTGAGATCCGGAGTCGAGCCGGCCAATCCATACGTTCAATATCCTCACTCTCTAAGAGCTGTTCGGCAGCTACTGTGCGATGACATGGTGCATTGTCGTCCATGAAAAATTTGTCTCTAAAAGGACGCACATATGGAAGAAGAATCTCGTTACAATAACGGGTCCCGTTGACTGAACCTGCGTCGAAGATGTGAAGGTCTGTACGACTACCAAGCATGATGCCTCCCCAAACGAGAACACCGCCACCTCCATACCTGTCCCTTTCAATGATGTTCGAGGGATGATGGCGGCTTCCCCGCTCTCTCCAGATGAGTATGCGATGAGAATCGCTACTCAGACTGAATCTGCTCTCATCTGTAAAGAGTACTCGTCCCCATTCATTATCTCTCCAATTCCGGTGCTCCCGGCACCACAGAGAACGCCTTCTCCGATGGGCAGGCGTTAGAGGTACACACCGTACAGGGCGTCGTGCAAACAGACCACCACCGTGCAGTCTTCTGGCCACGGTAAAACGCGATATCGGTCGTCGAGTCGCCTGTGTCGTGTGTCTAGCAATTTCTCCCGCTGTCTGCCGCCTGTTTCTTCTGGCCTGTAAGGCAATATACCGGTCATCTGCGGGTGTGGTTCCTCGTTGACGACCACTACTAAACCCCCGGATAGCTGTTCCTTTAGTTTGAAATTGTCTCCAAAGTCGTGAAACGATGCTGTGAGCAATTCCGAACTCTGCAGCCACACTTGTCACACTGCGGCCTTCCTCCAACTTCCCAATGATTCGAACTCGGGTAAAAACATCCAGATGTCGTCTAACAGATTCATTATTCGCCATTTCTCGCTGAGGCAGCAACTCGGTGTGATTTTAACTGCTATACGGCGTGCAATCTCTTTGCCAGAAATACTGATCTTACACCGACAACATGCTTTATACTACTCAGACACTCCCCCCATTACGTCTACCTGCATATCTGCACATGTGCTACCGTACATCACCTTATTTAATCTCCTGATTGGTCTTTCTGTCCGCTCTGCCTCTTCGTTCAGCTGATATGCTAATTTTTCGACTTCGTCCTTATTTTTTCACACCAGTGTATTGTAAGGTCGCTGATTTAAATTCACCTGTGTGTAGTAACGTAAGTGTGCGTGTACTTTCATTATATTATCGATTCGTCGTTTTCGAAATGTACACATAATGTATTTAAGCGTTTATATTTGCTTGTATTTAATATATTACTGTGCTAATGCAATTAGACCTATTTCTTTCTAACATTTATAACGTTAAGTATTTTAAGCCTTTCTTGGAAACTATATCAGTTCAACATAGCATCAGATATTGTCTGGTCTGTCATCCTGAGACTGCGATGTGGTAGGTATTTAGAATTGCACTATACTAGGATGACACTCCGAATCCGTGCGGCGTTCTTCGGAAAACTCGATTATAGGAGTTTCTGAAATAAAAATATTTCTGCAGTTTCCAGCTAACGTTTAGCCCACCGGCTCTGGAAATTATGAATTCGAGGACCCTTTTCATATGATTTCCCACGGATCCCTAATCATTCATTTGAATGGTACTCTTGTACCATATTTTATATTTAAATTAAGAAACCAATCGCTGCCCTATTGGCATGATAGGCGTGGCAATAAATTGGATCGGATTCGAATTCCGGAGAAGGCAAATACGTTTGTAAATCTATGGGGACTTTGCGACAAGGGAGAACTTAAAATACTGTCGAAAGATCATTAGACTAAGGGTAGGAAATTCTTAGATCCGTCCTGTATGTGACCACTATCAAAATTTAAGCAGAATTTGGTAAACTTCTTCTTCCACTAAAAATATTGTTTAATGTTTCTGCCAACAACAGGCGCAATCTTTACCCTCTTGGCCATGGTAAATTCGTGGACCTGATCGAGACTACATTCAGATTAGAGATGAACGTTCCGCTCATGAACTGAATCAAAGAACCAGTTCACTTTACTGAGCGCGAGAACGGGGGTAAAACGGATAAGCAGTTCCTTTAGAGTTTATTCACCGAGAACTCTTGCTCAAAGTGTATCAGGACAGGTCGATTCCGATTTTATGTAAGAAAAGGAATATTTCTTCTCCTATGTTAAAAGCGAGTTTAATTTTTATCGAGCCCCGGCGTTTGAGACACATTTTGATTCTATAATTTTATTATTATTTCCGTGCATAAAGGAAGTTTCAGCAAAACTAGAGTCAAAAGAAAGCGATTCAACTCAGTTGATTTCCCGATCGTTCGATTCTTTCTGCTTTTTGCTCCGTCCTCGCAGTCTGCTCTTGATTCAGTCCCCGTTTTCGATCTTATTCATTAAGGTTATTGTTAATGAATGGAAAGGCATAAAAATAATGGACTAAGTTTAAGGAGCAAATGGTCATGATCCGATCCCAAAAAAGAGCGATTTTGTCTACTTCGAGTTCAGATCGCGAGAAGTAGTCCCAACAATACAAGAAATTTTACAAATTTAAGTTTTAAAACTGTCTTCCAGATCCTCGACCTCCGTTGATCATTGCTGAAGAATTACTAGTAGGCAGATCAACACATTCTATCGAATCATCGTTACTTCTTTCAAAAACTAAAGACTATGTAGAGGTACTAGTTTATTTTTAAGAGCGTTATTTGCATGAGATCAAGGTAACATCCATTTAATACACGAAACCAGAACTTACAAAACAACACTGTAGCTAAAGAGAATTGTTATATCAAGAAGAAGAGTACCTGAAACTCTGGCTCCTCTGTGCATGAGCTGATACATTGTCCTTGCGTCGTCAAAACAGTACTCGAGGAATTTCCCATCTGGATAAAACCGAGAAGATCTCGCGCCATCAGGACCCTGTAATGGAATAGGGTCAAATTTACAAAATATGCCTTTCGTGGATGTCAGGTAGTAGATATCTCGTTTAATTAAGCATCTGAAAAGTTTCCTCCAAAATTAAAGTTGTAATTATTTGAAAAAATGCCATGAGATTTACATGTTTTTAATATCAGTTATGCTTTATTACAAATTTTGTATTTGGGCTTGGGAGAAAGAAAAGATAATTAGATCTCTGAAGAAAGTAATATATAAAGTAATTTTTTTAATCAGCGTTTTAGAAAGAGGATTTATTGAATTAATTTAGCGACTGCCTTGCTCTGCTGTTGTAATTTGCTGAAGAGCCAAATCTGAAATCACTTACGTCTAAGTCATTAAGTTATTGATATCAAATTTTAGGAAATTTAATAAATTATAATACTTGACTGAATTTCTGTACATCTTTCAATTTGCAATAAACTTAACGAAGAAAATATTTAAAGCATTTGCATGCCTTCTTACGCATATACACTGCTGGCCATTAAAACTGGAACACCAGGTAGGAATGATCTGACGAACGGTAAAATCACTTAAAAGGAAGAAGTTTGTATTTCAGTGCATTTAGACGACGCGGGAGACAGAAATGACATCTAAAGCACAGCATAAAAGGAAAGTTTTATAGTGGATTTCTCATTTGGAAAGCACTTTGTAAGGTCGGAGTGTTTTCAGAATATCGTGTTATGCTCCTTATAAGAAGAAGAAATGCTCACCAGCAAGTAACAGAATTCGATAGAGGCAGGATCGTTACCTGTCGAGAGTCTGGACTATCGTTTCGTGATATCACCCGTCGCACTTGACAACATCCAACCACTGTCATGTGAATATAGAATCAATGTGTTGCTGAGGGTCATATTGAACGGCATGTAGGATGTCAACGTCCTCCCATGACTGATTCCGGAGAGGACAGACATATTGTGAGGTCAGCCAATTGTACAGCCACATCATGGACCATTAGTCAGGAAATGGGCATAGTGTTGTGGTTTCAATGGTCAGCAGTTGTATAAATACGTATAATATATAAATACATATTAATGTTTTAAAAAAAGGTTTTTTAATTAATTTTTGAACGCGGAATATTAATATAGGAGCTTTCAAAACCAATAATAAAGGTAACTGAAACAAAAAAGTAAAGCCATAATAAAATTATCAATTATTTTTGACCGTCTTTGATTATTAAAAAAAGCGCATAGCTCAAGAAAATCTTTATTACTAAAAATATTTTTGATTATTAGAGCACTAATTTAGAAATTTTATAAAAAAAATCGAAGTGAAATAATTCATTATCAGCATGAATGAGATGAACGACGGAAAGAATCAGTACACCTACTTACAGTGTGATACAGGGAATGATAAATTTTATCATCTACAACATAAATCTAAAATTATCTAAAGAATACACCCATTCGTATTTTAATACATATTATTCATGTTAATTTTCAATGGCATTTAGAATTATTTCGCTTTGATTTTTTATAAAAATTTCTAAATTAGTGTTTTATTAATCAAAAATATTTTTAGCAATAAACAAGATTTTCTTGAGCTATGCGCATTTTTAATAATCAAAAACGGTCAAAAATAATTTATAATTTTATTATGGCTTTACTTTCTATTTTCAATTACCTTTATTATTGGTTTTGAAAGCTCCTATATTGTTACCCTAATGTTACTTCAAAGTAACATCAAGGTAACAATATAGTTACCTCTACCCAGGGCTCTACCCAGGGCTGTGGACTACCGTTAAAGTCATTTTAATTGCCTTCCCTTCCTCCTCCCTTGTCGAGCAAGGAATCAGTGCTGTGGCTGACTTAATTACAAAAAATCTGATGTGCACACCACATGACTTCCTTGTACGGAATATTAAATTATACGCATTTTTTCTTGCATTTCATTTAAACTTATTGGATTGAATTAAACCTACATCGCCGACAGCGCATAATCCACAATAGAATAAATGCATTCTTTAAAATTCACTCTAGTATTTGTTTACAATAGCGACACTCTGGCGCTAGATTCACTTAACAGTATTATATTTCGTTCATATTATAACTCATAATGCACAAAATTTATATTCTGTAGCAATCTTGCTTTGAGCAAGAAGAAAGGAGGTGAGGACTTTGGCGAACGCCGTTTCCTCCAGTCCGTGAGGAAAATTTATATCATTTAAAGAATAGAATTATCTAATCATTGCCACATGTTCTATTCAAATACTATAATAAAGCTAGAACGATGTATAGAAGAAATTAAGCAAACAAAACAAAAAAGAAACAGTTTTCACAGACGATTGAGTATTTCTCATTCAATTAATTCAGTTCTCACTTCGCGAGAAGGCAAAAATACATAAAAACTCAAAATATCTATATTAAAAATTACGAAGTAAATCTTAAACCCTTATTTCCTGGAAAAAATTCCAGAAAGAATTAAGCATGATTTAATTGGCAATAATAAATGAAGGCATTATCTTTGTTGTTGTGAAGCTAAGTTTCTCTAGATTGGCAACAAATACAGATTTACGAAAGGCATAAAACCTTAACCGGAAGATAAAGACAACATAATTATTTTTAAAGCAAAAAATGTACAATTTACGAACATATAAGAGTAAAGAAACTGAGATCACTGAGCGTGGCAGAGTGGATATATATATTAAATATATTTATATACGTTTGCTGCGGCCGATCGCAACCAAAATACGAGGTGCACATCTACATGTTATAGCAGTCCTATATACAAAATTTCAACGTTCTGAGGCTACTCGTTTTTGTACAGACGTACGTACATACGTTCGTACAGACGCCACGAAAAATTCTCTTCAAAATTAATTTTAAAGCAGTTTTATAATTTTTTTGGAGGAAACGAGTCTTTTATCCTGTCCTTACGTACAGATATCACGCAAAAACATCGTTAAATTGCATTCGATAGCGGTCAAAACGGATATTTTCGTTGAAATATGCTGCGTGAAACTTTTCGCGATTACAATACTTCCTTTTTACTTCGTACAAGGAAGTAAAAAGAAAAGTCGACATCAAATTGTGGAAAGAGGGGACTTGCGCCTTCAAGTCTCTAAAAATATTGAACCGAACTTTTCAGAGACTGGCTGTGAACCATTTAGCACGGTTACAGCCGAAAACATCGCGGCAAAAACATCGCAGACGAAAACGTCGCGGAGAAAACAACGCAAGGCGAAAACGTCGTGCTACAAAACATCGTGGGAGAAAACATCGCAGATCTAAAACATCGTGGTACAAAACATTGTCGTCGAAAATAAAGCGCTTCAAAAACTTCGCAGTTTAAAAACATCGTCGTCGAAAATATCGTGGTAAAAAATAAAGTATCTACAAATGATCGCATGACGATAACATCGCAAACATGCTTTTTTCAGGCTTTAATAACTATACATGGATATTCCCGTAATGATTTGTGAGCACAAGATGGAAAGAAGGATAATTTTTACTGTCATATTTTTTATTAATCAATAAATTTTTGCTGAGAAAATAAAAAGAAACTTAAGCATAGAAAATTAATGCAACTTATAGCATTGAATAGAATTTTAAACCGACATAGTTAACTAACAAAGGCCATTAATAAATCATTTTTTGTAAAGTTTTCACTGGTAATTTTTCATGAAAAGTATAATCTATAAGTTGCATTTAGTTTTCTATGCTTAAGTTTCCGTCTTACTTTTTTCAGCAAAAATTTATTAGTTAATAAAAAAAATGTGAAAGTAAAAATTATCCTTCTTTACATCTTGCGCTCACAAATCATTATGGGAATATCCATTTACAATTATTAAAACCTGAAAATAGCATATCTGCGATGTTATCGTCATGCGATGATTTGTACATACTTTATTTTTTACCACGATATTTTCGACGACGATGTTTTTAAACTGCGAAGTTTTTGAACTGCTTTATTTTCGACGACGATATTTTGTACCGCGATGTTTTAGAACTGCGATGTTTTCTCTTTGCGATGTTTTCTCCCACGATGTTTTGTAGCACGCCGTTTTCGCATTGCGTTGTTTTCTCCGCGACGTTTTCGTCCGCGATGTTTTTGCCGCGATGTTATCGGCGGACACCATTTAGCACACACATCCCACTGATCACACTTCATTATTTCATTGATATTACTCTTCTCTAGTGTATTTTTTTAATTATTTAGTTCAGGATAAAAAATTTTTAAACACAAAACATCGCTTAAGCAATTGTTTCTGGCATTAGTCATTTCAGTTTTAACAAAATGAATGTAATTATCTCCCATGGAAAACTATCGATTAAAACCAAACAAATTTGGTGTGTAAGCCTACTGAAAAAAACTATTTAGAATGTTTCCCTTTTATAATTCAGGAACTCTCTTTACCTAAACCTAAATTAGAGAGTTTTCACGAAGAGGGCGTTGAAAAATATTTCCTCCTTAGGAGGGCGGCAGCTTCAAAAAGGTTTAGAATCACTAGTTCAAATTTTGTAATTTTTATCCTTTGATACTTTATTAAGTCACAATATACTGATTCAGAAGTCAAACAACAAAAATCAGAGTCATATTTTTCAAATTTTCACAGGACTAGTTTCGATGGTTTTACTGAACCACCATTCTCAGCTGCGCTTTTGCAACTGTGGATGGTGGTTCGGTAAAACCATCGAAATTAGTCCTGTGAAAATTTGAAAATATAACGCTACTGTCACAAATCAGCTTTATAACAGCAATACGAATACTGTCACAAATCAGCTGTATAACACTATACTGTCACAAATCAGCTGTATAACAGCAATACGAATATGCGCGCTAGGTCTAAAAGACACAATCCGATCAAAATCAAGACTCCGAATTAAAGCCCCGGCGAAAAAACTGCGGAAACATCTAAAAGTCGACTAAGACACGACTACACTGGACTTCAACAACTTATATAAAATAGGCGTGGTTTGAGAAAGGCCTGTTTAATCGAGCCCATTGGACCCAGTGCGCGCCCTCGCGGACTAATTTAGTAATAAACTTAGTTGAAATTCTAGATCGCTCGCGAATGCGACTTGTACAACCTTGTAAATTTACCTCTGGCTTTGTTGAAATGACCAATGGCTTTGATGAGCTTACCTCTTTGGAGTTTTTTCACGTAAAGATTCTAGGAATAGGATTGCTCGTACACCCCCATCAGTGATCCTGCAGCCATTGAAGCTACGTATCTTCAGCGCTGTCTTGAAGAAAACTTTTAGAAGCATTTAACGAATCATGAGTCAACAGATCCATTGATGGTTTGATGTGTGAAGAATGTCTCAAGCTCACGTATCGATTTTTAATTCTTCTTTTATTAAGAATAAATGTTTATTGCAAATATTCATGCAGTTCACGCAGGATTAAATTTGATCTAAGTTTTAACTCATCCAGTATTGCTCTCATACAAGAACAAAAGAAAAATCGAACTCACCGGCAACTCTTTGGATTGCTTGTTTATGTCAACGGTTGGAGTAAGAGGTGGAGGCAAAGTCGACATGTATAGAGATGTGGCTACTGCCGTGGCTCCAGACAAAGCAGCTGCTCCCATGACGCTCCCTATATACTGAAGATAATCCTCCATTTTGGTGTCGTTTTCTTAGGCACAAATTCCTCTACTCAACTGCAATAGAATAAATACTAGTTTTGAAATGTACGTAAAGATGCGATGAAAAGAGATTACTGTTATGGATTTTATAATTAAATGAAATCTGTTACTTGGCATTTGTTTTTCAACTGCATTGCAGTTCAACTTGTAGAGTTCCTCACTTTGTAATTCTAAGTTAATGTTGGAAGTGAAGAACCTTAAGAACTGATAAGCGAATAATCACTTAAGTTCGCGTGACAAGAAACAGCAAGATAGAAAGGTAACTAACCCTTTATTATTGCAATAAGATTAAACAAAACTCCGCCTGGGAGTGTACAAACAAAGTCGACACTTGGGCTTGAACTTAAGAGACTAAGAATTAAACTAAAACTAAGATTAATTAAAGAAATATAGCCGAAGCTATCAAGATTCAAATCGAGTTAGCCCCTTAACTTATTTTGACTACGAAGCTTAGCAAGAGCCTGAGTACGGCCGAGCGTAATAACAGCTTTGAGAGAGAGAGTGGCCAAAAAGGCAGACACGCGTAAATCAGAAAATCTGATTCTCTCCCACTCTGTAAATAACTTCGTGGAAATACCTCTCCTCCTCATTAAATATTCAGCAAGATTCCAAGACTACGTTCTGGCCGGAAGTAGTAAGGTGAAGTTAATTTGACAGGAAAGGAAATTTAACTTAAAATTTAACTGTTAATAAAATTAACATAATCCTTACAAACTGAATGTTAGATACTTAATCGATGCTCATTACAACGACCACTCATTACAGCGATGTTTCCATTACAACGACCCATGCAAAATGTTCCCTGCTGACGAAAGTACATTAACTCGCTGTAACGTCCTTGTAAGGAAGATTTTAATTTTATAACAATTATTTTACTTTCCTTTCAATTTTTGTTTCCACTTACAACTCCCTACCAGAATGAGTTTTTAGAATCTCGTTGAGTGTAAATGAGTTAGAAGTAGTATTTATTAGAAATCCAACTAACTTCGATAGAGAATGCTAGGAGTCCTTAGTGGCGCGTGTTTACCTTCTGGCTAGTTCATTATTGAAGCTCGGCCGCTTTACACGTGCTAATTGATAGTTGCCGGTTAATTTGATTTAAAGGCCAACTACGTTAGATAATTGTGTCTAGCTTCGGCTAAGTCTAGTTTAGTTCATAGTCCAGTTAGTAGATTAGTTTCTTATTTTCTTATTCTGAATTAAAGCCCGAGTAGAGGCTTTCCTGCATACCCGAGAAAGATCCGACTGTTATTGTTATTTGAGTGAATTAAAAGAGTAATTTAGCACTTCTTCAGTCTACTTCTTAGTAGTTGTGAACTCAGCGAGAAGTCGCTACATGGTTCGCTAGGTTCCTCGACGTTTTATCATAAACAAAGGGCGAGGAACCCTATATCCTCTTTCTTTAAGGCTTGAGGGGTCGTCGAAATGAGCTTAATTTATGGGAAGATTTCTAATGAGCAGATGCAAATTATGGAAGGATATATTTCCTCTTTTATAATAAAAATATACTTGAGCATTATTACCCATATAGTTTAAAAAAGACAGACGGAAAAAAGGGGGTTAGACTTCAAAAAAACTGCTGGTCTGAAAACTCCAAATTATGTTCTCATATTCTTCAGATTATGTTATTATTACTAACTTCTCGGAAAATTTACCGTTAAGCTTTTAAAAAATTAAACAAATTTCTAAATCGTAAAAATTCTGAAATTGTTCAATGGTAGGTAAAATAAGTTGTTCTCATATTACATTCTTGTAAATTAATGCTGCGTGGAGACTTGGGTACTTATTTCATAAAGAAGAGACTAAATTATTAAAAATTTGGCATTACAATTTATTTCACAGGATCGCTTGAACACATGTCAACAGGAGAAATTCTCCATACTCAGTGATTCGGCATCAAGTCTGGCGGCTATCGCAAGTCAAAACAGCCGGAGTCCTTTGGTATACAGAATTCAGAAACAGCTTCTGACAATGCCTATTTCGCAAAGACCCACTTTAAAATGAGTTCTCGCTCACACAGGGATTCAAGGCAAGGAAGCCGCTGACCTACTGGCCAAGCAGGCAGCCAACTGCACGAATATATTAGTAGAAAGACCAACTAAACTTCCTTGGTCTCATATTAAGCGAACAACTTTGACAAGTCTGCAATAAAATTGGCAAAGTAGATGGACAGAGGCAGAGGTAGGACGAAAGACATTTCGCTTACTGCCAAAAGTTAACATGGAAATAAAGACCCAGTGTGCTAGCCTAACACAGTTCTTGACAGGTCATGGACCATTCCCAGTATACCTAAACAGATTCAGACTTAGGGATACTCCTTTCTGCGAATGCGGAGAGGAAGGCGATACGGACCATTATTACTTCCATTGTTTACATACAAGAAACTGGCACTTGAAGAAACCAGCGGACTGTGCCTGGACAATGTGGACGAATAACACACTCAAAAACAGAATAGCCCTTGATAAAATAGAGAAAATCTCAAGGCACTGCCTAAGCAGAAACAACCGTGGATAATATTATAATGTTCAGAACTTAAAGCAGATAACCAGAATAACGCTTAGTGCCTTGCAGTTATCAATATGTAAAAACTGTTATTAGTATATAATATTCAACCTTGTTACTCTGGAGTCTTCTCCGCCGTGATGGTATATAATTCCGTTTGGTTCATGTTCGTGGTCGGAAGCCATCATAGCGGTGCACTCACTCACTCACTGTGTTTAAAAAGTAAATAAACGAAAGGAAAAGGAGACAAAATGCTCATTAAATTAAAATCTGCAGATTTATTCCTAAAACTGTTTTTCATAGTTTTACTTACTTTAATTTTTATTTATATATTTATTTTTTCTTATTTTACTTAGCGTATAGCATAATGGCAAATGAAATACCTAGCCACACGAAATAAATAAAGGGTGATTCTTGTAGAACGGACCTATTTCATCGAGCTGTAGTTTTGTTAAAAAATGTTCGATTTTAGTGTGGTTTGTGGCAAAAGATTCAGGAAGGATGAAAATTTAGTGGACCGTCCTGTATTTTTATGTGCAACGCCGAAGAAATAAGAAATAACGAAAACAGCGACATTCCACCAAATTTCATACAAAAGGGACTGCATACTATAGAAGTCAGAACAGTTTGACATTTCACCAATAGATGTAACCTCCGTCAAAACAAACCTACGTCAAAACAAAGTAAGAATTTGATCAGGAAGTGCCTTTGGGGGCCGTATTATTTCCAATGGTTTGTGGCCTTCGCGGTCACATAGCTATCGCCCCCAGATTTTTTCTTATAGAGTTTTCTGAAGGGTCGTGTCTGTCGCAATAAACCACGGGCACTGGTCGAATTAAAGACCAACATTTTTAGGGAAATTGCAAACATCACTACTGACACGTGGGAGCCAACATGGTGGGGCGAGTTCGGTTATGCCTACGCCTGGAGGGTGGTCATTTTCAGCACCTACTGTAGGCTAAGTGATTATAAACCTTTATAACCTTTACAAACCTTTACTAGTCACGTTTGGTATGCCAAATGGCAATCAGGGTTTTTAAAAACGTTTTATAGGCGCAAGCCACCACATCTTGTATAGCATCTCGCGGTTTTCGTTATTTCTTATTTTTTTTTGGCGTTGCACATCCAAAAAAGGGATGTACCACTAAACGTTCCTTCTTCCTGAATATTTTGCCGCAAACTGCATTAAAATTGAATACATTTTAACAAAACTATAGCCCGGTGAAATACGTCAGTTCTAAAAGAAACACCGTGTAGATCAGTGTTGCCCAACCTTTGGCCTATCGCGAGCACATTTCCAAAACATCAACATTTTTAGTTAACATATTTCCAATCTTCTGTGATACATCTGAAATATTAATTTCGGCAAATGGGTTTGAGATGAATAATAATATTGGTTGAACTTTATGGAAATCAGAGAAGCGGAGTTCAAAATTATTTTTCAGTGCGTTTAGGTTTTCCGAGAATTTCTCTGTTTCAATTGCCTTGTGGTTATTAATATGGCTTGATAAATTCTGAAAATATGTGAAATTATTTTCTTTCATCTGATTTATCCACAAATTTAACTTTATCTGAAAAGCAGTTACAGTCCCACTCAATTGAAAAAAGGTTTTTTTTTTTCTTTTCCCTGGATAATCTTCGTTCAGTTTGTTCAGTTTAGCTGTTATATCCGTGAGAAAATACAGATCGAATAACAATTATTATCAATTATTATCATCTAATGCTTTATAACTTTCATTTTCGGATTCGAAAAACTGCTTTATTGGCGAAAGCAGTTCTACCAATCGTTAAAGTACTTTTTCCCTGCTGAGCCATCTAAACATCGGAATGAACCAATAAGATTCCATGTTCGCTATCAAGTTCTTCAGTCAGCAATCAATTATTTTATAATGTCTTGCAAGATATCTCTTATAACTATAAATGCTAACCATATTTTAACAATTAAGAAATATAAATGAATGTTTATTTTTAAAATATTTTTTGTTCATAGTACCTAATCGGGCTGGCAAGCACATACAAAACGATCAGCGAGCACAAGGTTGGGCACCGCTGCTGTAGATAATGGGGCTGAAAACTTAACTTCGAAGTACTCAGTAATTTATGAAATACGCATTACATGTTGTTACATTCAAATCTCTAAGCACACATTTAAAACTTTTTCATATTTTTACAGCCGTGCAAACAGAAAATAGGCATTAAAATATCTTGTTACCATGAATATATCTAAGTCAATGCTATCTCAATAGAACTGCAGTCAACTCTCGATTAGCCAAAGCCAGATAAACCAGGTTACGAATTAAAAGGGAAACGGAAATGCTTGGAGTAATGGCAGAGATAGCAAGACGATGTCATAAACACTTAAGAATTGTTTTTATCTAAAACAGTGCTTAATTTACTAATTATACATAACCTACGATATACAAGAATTGTTAAATCTAAAACTAAATTACTAAATCTAAATTAAATTCAATGTATAATATTAATTTTCTATTCCTCATTGATTCCTATTGAAATACAAGAGTGATATAAACAATAACATTGCTCTTTCTGTTTTATTCTTCCTGATTTAATTCATAAAACCAAACAAACGTATTCTTGAAATTAAATTGCTTACAATTACAGATAAATTCTTAATAATATTTTTCTGTCAATTATTATATGAGTCATTCCCCATTCCTGTGTGCCCCCTTCTTTTAACTGCTATCGAATTTACGGTGGTTCCCTCCCGAATTTAACGTGGTTTTATAGGATTTATCTCTCCTTGTCCACATAAACTGACCTAGATTCTATTAATGAACCTTGCCACTTCTCGCACAGGCGTGAAATAATACCAGCACAGAAAAAGTGGGAAAATAACCCTTTATTATTTTAAACTGTGAACAGAAAAAAGCACGTACTTCGTGCTTTACAATAACACCGACAACTTACGGTGGAAACTAAGAATTTGTAACACAGATCAATTCAAGTCTCAAAAGAATAGTGCTGGATTAGTACTTTTAAGTTAGGGCTATCTAGGTTGACTCGACAAATCTAACAGGCGTGATAATTATTCAAAATAGCCATCGTAACATCAAGATCAGAAACGAAACGTGCGCTGGCTAGCGAAACATGCTCTGAATAAACTCCAAGATTCACCCGTTTAAATACTCACTTCACTTAGCTTTAAATTTACATCCTGGCGAGGAAATGCGAGGGGAAGTTGAGGAGTTCAAGAAAGATGACAAAATTTGAATAATACGTTAGTTCAGCGGTTCTCAATCTTTTGACTAACGCGAACCATCTAAACAAAAATTGAGAAACTTTAGTACCACCGCTACATTTTAAAATGATTATTTTTCAGTTTCTCAATAGAAATACTTAAAAAACATATTTTGTCATTTGCATACTTTGTTGGCTATTTATATTAAATATATACACATAAAAATATTAGTTTAAAACTTCGTTACCATTGTAATTATAAAAATAAGTTATAACACTTTAAATCTAAAATTTACTGTGAAATTTGGATCTATTTAAGATAGATCCATTTCTTTATGTCTGATCATATTTCATTTAGCTTTTACCGTAATTAGGATCCACTTTTAATTTTGTTCTGCACTTTTTTTTTTAATATGACATGGGAGAAAATCTTTGTTCACCCAAATAGACTGTAAAGACAGGGAATAAAAATTTAATAGCATTATTTGAAATGTTTTTAAATTCATTTGTCAGTTAAGCCTAAAGTTAACAAGTGTGTTGTTTTTAAATCTTCAGTCAGAGTTCGATGACAGAATCAGTTAGAGATCTATCAATTGTCCTTTTTCTTCACGAGATTTTTGAACTTAAAAATTTTAAATACTTTTTGTTTCTTTAGGTACCACCTATTTTCCTCTTGCGTACCACCAGTGGTACGCGTACCACCGGTTGAGAATCGCTGCGTTAGTTGAACTAAAGGAAACCCTACACTTTATTCAAATTAGCTATTAATATTATCAGAATAGGAAACTGATATTCGACAATGATTAATGGCGGAAATTATGCAGAAGAATATTTAAAAACTCTAAGCATTCATTTCCTATTGTTTATTTGAAAAACTCAAAACAGTACTTTAAATTTAACGTAACTTAAATCTATATTCGGTTTTAAAATTTCTAGTTCTAAAATCGAAACATACCTTATCAGGGATAGGCTCTACTATATAGAGAAACAAAATTCTACGGATTTCCTTATACGATTGCTCCTTTTCAATCCAGATCTTTAGTGTAGGCCCTCCAACTTGAGTAATTTTATGCCTGTTATTCTAAATGTGCTTTACGAATCTAATTTTAGAACTACTTCAATACTTTGTTGAGATATTAATATCGGCAATGAACTTCGGACTGCTTTTTATCTCTGAAAGTTATTTGTTTTTAGAAGACATACAACAATTTTCCTTCTCATTCTCTCTGTCACCAATTGCAATGATGATATTTGAACTCCCGTTTCAAAGGTTAACCGTAAAGAAAAGATTATTGTAGTTTGAACGTCGTCTGATTTCGCTTATCAATACTCTTATTTTTTCCCTCTCAGTGCGATAGGAAGATTATGCATACACAACCTTTACAAGGGGTCTACCGTTCACGTTTTCGAGTACAATTGGATTTCTTTTTGTTATGTGTTCCATTCAGGAAACGCAAATTTTTTTTATTCATTTTCATTATCGCTTGCTGTATTAGGACATATTCTGAGCCAAGGACGTTGCAATAATTCGGTCATAATCTAAGCTTAATAATATGTTTAAGGTTTGAGTTATGGAATTATTATGCTATTTATAAATGTTACAATATGAATAATAATCTTTAAGTTCAATTTTTGTTGACTAGAGCTTAATTCAGTATCTTTGTAGATTAATTAAAACTTTTGTGATAGATTACATGAAACTGTTTTTAGTTAATTAATGTGTATTCTTAATTCAAGTAACACAATGTTGCTCTCACTACGAATGTCATAATCATCAACAAAATCTTTTTTGAGATATTATTAGTAATAAACAAATTATTCAGTCAATGCCCACTTATAGCGAAGGAAACAAGAAAGAAAAGAAAAAAGAAAGAAAGCAAAAAAAGAAGAGTGAGAAAATAGGTCCCCATTTGTGCAATCCAATCTTTGTACTATCAATACGATCTATATTACTGAATAAAGAATTCCTCAGTTGTCATAGATTTATTTATAACTGGGTTGTTCGCTGAATTCAAGCCTGATTATATATAGCAAAATAAAAAGCTGGAAGGGAATAAATAGGAGACAATTGCAATAGAAAGGGGGCACAAAATGCACAAGTAATTTCTGGGGGGAAAAAAAGGAAAATATTTTTCAATAATAGAAAAAAATGTTTTAAATGCATTAAGATATACAGAGTTTAATTTAGATTAGTTTTTGTGAGCGTGCTTTTTTTTTTTTTTTTTTTTTTTTTTTTTTTTTTTTAAGTGTGAATGTTAAATTACCTCGAAATGAGAGCTTTTTATTTTAACATCTATTACATTTCTTTAAATGATTTAAGTTAATTTAATGGTATTTTTATTATTTTAAATCTTTTAATGAGATCAATTTATTTTACTGTTCTAAAACCCTATAACAAATTATTTTAGTTTTCGCAGAACTGTCTTAACGACAAACACACACTGGCCAATGAAACAGAAACCTTTGAGATTTTCATTTGTGTAACAGTCCTTTTCACGATGAATGAAGTAAAATGGGAAAAACGATAAATCTTTCACCACTGAAAAAGGGCTTATTGTTGGTGCCCGTTTAGCAAGGGTTCTGATTCTGAAGACAGCAAATCTCACTGGGTTCTCAAAGGCCGCCATATCAAAGGTTTTCAAAAGTTAGAATCAGAACCCACAGTCCTTCTCTAGAAGACGTAACTGCGGTTTCGAGCACAGTTTTCCAAGAGGGTGATCGGCGAATTTCCGAAGAATTCTACGGCAGAACATGGACTCTTCTATGCTTCAATTGACAGAGATCGTCAACCAAGGATCTTCCAAACAGATTTCAGCTCGAACCATGCGCAGAGAATTGCAGAGGATAGGAATGCATAGTCGGTTGCCTGTGAGTAAACTACTCATTTCTGCCTGACATGCAAGAATTCGTTTGTAATGGTGTCGGAAAAGAAGGCACTGGACATATGAAGACTAGAAACGGGTAATGTGGTCGGATGAATCAGACTACACCTTATTTTGCGCCAATGGAAGACGTAGAATTCTTCGAGAACTCCATAAAACCAGGAATCCATTTTGTCTTACTCGCACTGTGCAAAGGTCTGGTGGGAGTATCATGATATAGGCCTAGAAGTGGTGCCTTGGTGTTCCTCGAGGGTAAACAAACAGCCATGATATATCTACATATACTGGCAGATCAAATGTACCCTGCAATGTTGCATTTTTACCTTCATGGCGAGGGATACTTCATGGACGATAATGCAACTATACATCCTGTCAGAAGTGTTTCCAACACCTTTCCTGGCCATCGCATATCCCGGATCTTAACTCCATAGAAAATGTCTGATATATGGTGGAAACACGCCTCCGACAGTACTCTCCTCTTCCATCTAATTTACAAAATCTAAAAAGCTGCATAGCCGATGCATGGTATTCTCTGGACGTAAATGCACTCCAAAAGTATGTAGACTCGATGCCCAAACGAATCAGAGCAGTTACGTGTAAAAGGTGGTCCAATAAAATATTGATCTCGGGTTTCTAATTTATTGGCCAGTATGTGTATATATGATTTACTTTGAACACTGGATAATTTTCAACAAAGTTCAGTAATCCTTCTAAATAAATCAATGGAATATGTATACCACCAACGGTTCCAAAAAATTTTGATCTTCTGTAGAAATGATCGACTTGGAGATGTAATTCAATTCACTCGGAAATACGTGTTGCATTCAGAGGTGGTTATATTAGGGAGGAGGTCACCACGAGAAGGTCTACAGGAGATTAAGAAATAAAAATTCTAATCACATCAGACTGTACAAAGTGTACATTAAAAAACAACAACACAGAAATCTCTCGCAGTTTGTGCAGTTTAGTGTAAGTGCTGAATAGTCAGTGTTGTAGAGTGCTGAATAACCTAACTTTGTTTCAAGCCGGTATTCTGAAATCCGAACTGATATGAGAGGAACCATTATATAAAGCAAAAAAGAAATTCCATGCATTTTTGTAAGATGAAAATTAAAATCAAATGCTTATTTTTGCATTAAATTAATATAAAATAATAACTGAATTTATATTATTTATCCCGTATCTAATTGCTGGAAGACAAGAACAACATTTTCAAGCAAAAAATGCACAATTTACCAACATATACGAATAAATAAACTGACATCGTTAAATTGCGTTCGATAGCGGACAAAATGGATATTTTCGTTGAAATATGATACCCAAAAATTTTTGCGATTAGAAAACTTCCTTTACTACGTACAAGGAAGTAATAATAAAGTTTACTGATTCTCTCAAATGACACTGAAAAAATTTAGCATAACTCTATGAAATAATTAGGCTAAGTTTGAAGTAATAAGGAAAATACGTAGATGCAGTGAATTTCTAAGACAATGATTCATTATTCGATATAGTTTTTGTACTCTACTGAGATGATGCTTAACAGTGGAGTTTGCTTAGTCACTTTCAGTGATGGTCGTCTTTAGGGGGGGGGAAGAAAAAAACTGAAAAAATTCATAACGCTGCTTTTCCAGATGAAATTCAAATTGATTAGAACAAAGCAGAAAAAAATAGAATTTTTACAAAAAGGGAATTTTTTAGAATTTTAAATTTTTATATAAGCAAATACAGATAAAAGTTTGTTTTAGCAACTATAATAGATACAAAAGGGACTAATTACCTTGAATATTTATGGTTTCAGCGTTTTGTGAATCGTAAACTTTCTGCATGGGAGTCGAAACCACTTGTGACGAAACAGATTGTGAAATTATCACAAGTGAACCTTGAACGATTTTTAACGCCCATTGTATCCCTTTTTTCTGCAGAAGGTCTTACGAGGCCGATTATCTTATTGAAAGTTTGATACAGATAAAAAGAAATTCTGCTATCTCTCAACACGTGGACTCTTTCACTTAAAATTTTTAATTCATTTTTTATAAAAAATTGCTACAAATTAACATTTTGACGCTTTCCTTTTTAGTTTGAGTTAAATTTGCTATCAAAAATCCCCAATAGAACTTTTCTATGTAATAAATTTATGATAAAGATGTATAGTTTTTAACTAAGGTACCCTGTTCACTGGTCTCTATAACTTGATTCAAGATTGCTATTAGATAAAGAGTAACGATGAGTTATCGTTATCATCAGGAATAAAAATTTAGCAATGCAAATATCAGTGGCAAAACTAAGAGAGTTACATTGGCCAAACTAAGTGAGCCTTAAAATTTCGCGTTAAGGAACATGAGGCATATGTTAGAAAAAAGGAAACACAGAAGTCTTCTGTTGCTCAACATTGTTGGTTCGAAAATCACACTTTCAATTTTTCTGCTGCCAAAATTTTTCAAAAAACATCTTCCATTAGAGAACTGGATTTTCTAGAGGCATTTCACATTCATAAAAATCTTTCTGTTCTAGTTAACGATCCTAATTCCAATCCAAATTTGCCTTCGGCCTTTAAAGAAATTATGTTTTAGTTCTGGTTTTACCAACAGATCGCGCCACTTGCTTATTCTTGTCCAGGCTTTCTTATCTTATCTAATCATTATTTCCTATCTTGTTCATTTGCGGTTTTGCAGCTGAGGATGGTGGTTCGGTAAAACCATCGAAACTAGTCCTGTGAATTTTGTAAATATAACGCTGATTTTTGTTGTTTGACTTCTGAATTAGTATTTATTCGGCGTGTTATTGTGTCTTAAATATCAGTTCATAAGGTTTAATTAGCTAACTAGTTCGTTTTATCTTGCATATAATTTGAAATGTTCGTTATGTGATAACTGCAAGGGTAGGATAAGTGAAAATAAAAGGGGTACAGTCTATATAACAACAAAAAGAGTCCTTAGAGTGGTAGATTCTATGCTTTTTGTGAGTATAAATTATAGACCCTACTGAAGACAAAGTAGCGAATTCTCGCTATGTCTTTGAAGAACAGATACTGCATAAGAAGGTTTAAATAACATTTTTATCTGAACTAACGTAACAAGATGCACTTACACGGTGCTCACAATACACCACCACTTGTGGCTAAATAATTTGAACAAAAAATAAAAATGTAAAATCGCAATCAATTAGGATGGCTAAACGACTGGCTCAATTATTTATCTATTTATCTTCTTATTTATCTAAACCGCTAAAT